ATCATGACTTTTCCAGTGAAAAATGTCATGACTTTTCCAACGACCCAATATATAAGTAAGTCCACTACCAGCATATATCTCAAAGTTTACCTTAGAAAAACATACGTATAACCACCTAAAATGTACAGATGGGAAAATGCAGATGAGGGAGGAGAGCTTGGAGAGACTTGTGTGAATCTTACTGCTAGGAAACAGCAAAACTGAAGCCAGGTCAGGGCAGATTGAGAAGTACAAACCCACCTCACTGTGAAGAGGCCACCCTTCCTCATCTGCTGTCTTCCTCATCTTCTTCTGTCATGCTACGCACTAACCCTAGTAACTCTTTCCCAGGCCTGAAGGTGTCTTCCTCATATCTAGACTTAACACTACTCTGTCATAACTCTGGTTCCTCCAGGGTGGGTTTCTTTCAGGCTTGAAACAGCTTGCAGGGATGACCAGCAGCCATAGACCTCCACTCCTTCTGGCTTTATTTATCACATACAATGAGCATGCCACTCTGTAAGGCTGAGCCAGCTAAGTCAGCTGTGCTGACACAGCTTTGGGGCTCTTCAACAGGGTGACAGCTGGCATAGAGCAGGCTCTGAGTTTGCTTCCACCCGCCTGGTCTGCTGCAAGCATGTGGACTTTGAATCTGATGACACAGTCCTTGGAGCCCACCCACACTGCTGTATGTTCAGTACCTATCATGAAAACTTTTAAACAATCTGCAACATCGCCCATTGTTTTCTGAAGAATACACCGGGAAAACCACCTAAAGTAATTAAGCAGAGAACAAAATTAAAAGTCGACCTCAAAATGTTTACCCTAAACATGCTTAATACTAAGAAACAGATATTATGAGCAAGCATCAATATTTATCTTTTTTTATTTTTTACTTTTTTTAGATTTTTGCCGTAGGGTGTGTGTGTTCACCTACTTTTTTTAGATTTTTGCCGTAGGGTGTGTTTTTTCCCCAGGGGAAGAGAGAGATAGAGAGAGAGAGAGAGAAAGAGAGAGAGAGAGCGACTGACAGGCAGAGAGGGAGAGTAAGAAATCAGCCCCCAGGGAGAATGGCCACACTGAAATTCCTTCTCCTCCATTTTCCCCCCAGTATCCTGGGCACCCACACACACATGCCTGGCATGTTTTTCAAGCCTCTGGATCAAGTATCTGTGATTATTAGCAATAACAACAACAAGCCAATATAGACCATCGACAGTGGCAACGTTCTACCCACCTTCTCTCCCAGTTCCCAGAAATGCCTTATGAAACGAACCATTATTATCTCCACGTTATAGATTACTGCAACACATGACAGCAAAGGCACACAGTCCCACAGTCCCACAATAAGTAAGTAGCAGATCAGGACACAAATCCAGGTAATCTGATGCCAAACCTCACCTGCCTGACATAATATTAGGTCACCGGAAAAGTCATGATGCATTTTTGCATAGAAAAACACGCCATGACTTTTCAAACAAGCCAATAAATGTAAAGTACCCACCACAGTCCCTGGTATAATGCAGGCACGCAGAAAATAAGTGCACGAGAACTTCTACACACAGATTGTTTGGGGACAATGACTGGAGTATAAGCAACAGTTTTCCCTAATAAATGTTTAAAAAACTTTTAAATGAGGCTAGACATTGTCCCAATGTTATCAAACACATTTTATATGTGAGTGTCATTTATGACCATAAGTGTTGATGTTTAAAACAGCAGTGAATTACACAGATGAGTCCTTGCCATTATGTTCTTTAGTCAAACCACGACCAGGTCTAACTGACTGAAGAGTATGTTAGGGTAGTTTTAAACGTACCTGGTGATTCTGAGGTTAACACTGGCCACAAATCCAACCACCACCATTTCCTTGTTGAGTGCATCTTTACAAACATCGATACCAACCACCATCAAGGATTTTAACTATAAAATTAAATTTGTCGTGATTTAATGGAACAAAGTATAACTTCCTCAAATAATGATCTCAAATAAAGCCTTTTTAAAGAACTGTTTTCATTTATTGAATTATTTAAATTAAGCAATGTCAAGAAGATCAAGACTCAGAAGAGGCAGATTATTAAATCAGAAACCAGAGAGGCTTAAAGATGGAGAGAAGAATACGGTATGCCCTTGGTTGAAGAGATTCTCAGTAGCCCAAAATCACCATCATCCTTTGTGGAGTGGGCAAGGGACACCAGTGACTACCGAGAGTTTGGGAAAATGGCTGGTCCGTTGTCCCTTGCCTTTGCTTTTAGGGAATTTGTATAGGAATTCTATTCCTTGTCCTTCAGATCTCCAAGGAATCCTCACACGACTATGCATCTCCAGGGCAGAGGGAGGCTGGGTCTCACTGTGTTCACCCCAATCATGATCATGAAGGGAATGGGCAGGGTGCTCTCATTTCTCCCTCTCCTTGCTTCCTCCCACAGTGACTGCAGTTCAGGAGAGGAAAGAGGATTTTCTTTGTTCCTACCACAGTTTGGTTCAGATCACAGGCCATGCAAGTTCTCCCAGCACCCAGAGTTCAAGACTCCTCTGAGAGATAACACCCTACGGAGGCTCCTCTGGGAGACAGCATCCCACAAGCAGGTAATGGTAGACAAACCCAGGTATTACAATAGCAGTTGGCAGGATGCATTCAAGTCCCTCCAGATCTAAGGCAAACTAGATTCTCTGTCATGAAATAGTCTACGTTAGGAACTTAACTGAAGAGAACAAGTCCTGTGCCCCACCTTCTTCTGGATATCCCCATAGTGGCTGTATAATGTCAGAACCCCGGGCAGAGGCTCAACAAAGAAACCAACTAAAGAATTCTGGAGTCATACGATACTATCTCCCACTTTCAATTGTTTTTTTTTTCTTAGAGATTTTTGCTATAGAGCATGTGCACTCACTGGAGACAGAGACAGAGAGAGAGAAAGTGAGAAATCACCCTCCAGGGGAACAGCCATGCCACAATCCCTTCTCCTCTCTCCTCCTATAGGGATTGTGGGCATGCATGTACATGCATCCAAGTGTGAGTTTCAAGCCACTGAGTCCAGTACTTGAACCACAGTAGGCCATGTGGGAGTCCAGCACCTTAACCACAACACCATCTGCTGCCCCCTCCTACTGTGACTTTCCAAAACTAATGGATGTGATGATTCTAAAAAGGAACAATGTGACAGTCCTAACCGGTATCTCCACCGCCCACAGCTCGCCTCCGAGCTTGCAGGCGACCTGCATGGCAACCTTGGTGGCGATGCTCATCATCATCCCCTGTTTATTCAGGGTCCGCGCAAGCACACATTGGCTTGGGACCGGGCAGTCAGAATTCAAATACTTTTTAATGGAGTCGTAATAGTTCTGACTGGAAGGTAGAATGCACATCACCTAAAAGCAAAACACAACAGAAATGAATGTCAATTTACTTAGGCTTGAAGGCAGCTTTTGGAAATAAATACACAGATTTTCTAAGCATCTCTTGCCCCTTTGTTCCCAAGAAATAAATACTAACATGTCTATGTTTCTCTTGAATGGTCTTTAAACCACTGACAGTGAATCACTCCACTTGAAATACGTTTTCTTTCTTTCTTTTTTTAAAAAAAAATTTTAGAGGTTTTTGCTATAGGGTGTGTGCGCTCGCCAGACAGACAGAGAGAGACAGAGAGATAGAAAGTGAGAAATCACCCCCCAGAGGGGATGGCCACATCGCAATCCCTTCTCCTCCATTCTCCTCTGGGGATCTTGGGCACGCACGCACACGCACCCAGCGTGAGTTTTAAGCCACCGGGTCCGGGATGCGAACTGCGGTCGACTACGTGGGAGTCCAGCGACATAGCCATTACACTAACTGCTGGTCCCTTCTTTCTTTCTTTTTTTGATAAAGAGATTTTTGCTATAGGGCACATGCACTCACCCGAGAGACAGAGACAGAAATTGAGAAATCAACCCCCATGGGGGATGATCACGCTGCCATCCCTTCTCTTCCATTCTCCTCTCTATATTTTGGGCATGCACACACACGTGCCCAGCATGAGTTTTAATCTACTGGGTCCATCACTCAAACTGTGATCAGCTATGTGGGAGTCCAGTGACGTAACCATTACACCATCTGCTGGCCCCTTGAAATGCCTTTGCATCAGCCATTCACTCTGCAAAGCCCCACTCCAACACTGCCCATCTCTCTTCACTTTTCCTTCCTCGTCATTTCGCTCCCGACCCAATGAGGCCCCTCAAGTTCCCTTCTCACCAGCTACCTTCCTCCTCCCCCTCGTGCTGTGGTCCTTTCCCAAGGCTCTCTAGGGCTCATTCCGACTGGTCCCTCCCCTACTAGCCACACCCAAGGGAAGGCTGACAATCAGCTTAACCTGTGGTGGTTTCCCCATCACCAAATTAAGGATAAAAACAACTTTTTAAACTAAGAGTTGAGAAAGTGCAGATACGGGGAAAGGCAAAATAAGCATAAAGAAGTGTTTTAATTCATCATGCTTTAAATTCTCCCATTGTGGTGACTACTTCTACTTCTTACTAGGGGTCTGCCACACTGAAGAACTATAATAACCACCTGGCTCACCTCTGCCACTTCCCCATCTTTTATTCTCTACCTTCGAAAGCCCCCAAATTACAGGAAAGATAGCCATTTTCTATATGAAAACAAAAACAATTTTTTTCACCTACAGAACTGTTTAAAATCATAATGTTGAAGGTTAAAATTAGTTTCATTTAGCTATAAAAAGTGGGAGAAATATGTTAACATTGTCAGCAAAATTCTCTTAAGGGATTCCTTCCTCCTACCCTGTGAGTTTGGGTCTAAGCAAGGTGGGTGGCAGAACAAGAGAGTGGCCCAGTGAAGGCCAAAGCTGAGAGGAGATGAGAGCCAAGTGAGATCAGTTACACACCAGAGGATGGAATGAGCAACTACGTCAAGAATGACAGAAGCCATGTTTCTCACTGTTAGAGAAGGCACAGATAAATACAAAAAGGGTAAAACTTGCCTATAGTATTGGATTACAATTGTGTGTGTGTATGTGTGTGTGTATTTCCAATTTTTAAAAAAGAATTATTTTATTTAATCTTATTCATTGTCATAATTTTATTTTTTTTTTTAAGTTGACCAGAGACAAACAAAGAGAGACAGAGAAGGAAAGTGAGAAAGCAAGCTGCCCAGTCTAGGACTCAAACCACAGTCAGTCTTGTGGGAGTCCAGCTGCCTTAATCACCACATCACCTGCTGACCCCTGTATTTCCAATTTTATCCACTGAGAAAATCTATTTTCTATCAGAAAAGTCATAATATATATGTGTGTGTGTATACACACACACACACATATATATTTCTCTATGCAAGTCATATATGTGTATATATACATACATGTATATATGTATATATACATACATGTATGTATATATGTATTTCTCTATGCAAAAATGTGCCACAATCTTTCCGATGACCCAGTAGCTCAATCCATTGAGGAAACCAAGCTTTCAGAACACCCCAGCAGCAAATAAGCATACCCACTACCCATGTCTTGGTTTTCAAATACTATTTTCTACCAAAAGGAATGAGGGCTCCTTGGAGAAATACCTGATTCCAGGGTTGGGAAGCAGAACTATGAGATACCAGAAAGTGAGGAAGTGTTCCAAGAAAGATGAAGACATATGAAAAAGACAGAGAATCCAGGTTGAATGGAGCTCCCACTGGCAAAATAGGGATGACTCAAGCACCAGAATAAGTAATAACAGGAATGGAGTACAAGCCAGTAAAAGAAACAGAAACCCATGAGTCCATACCGATGCAAAGGAAGGAAGGAAGGAAGGAAGGAAGGAAGGAAGGAGAGGAAGAGAAAGCTCTTCCTGTGCCATCTAGCAAATGAAGAAAAAAATGACAGAATTGGAAGACCACCATTTCAACCACCATTATAATAATGGATTCAGGCAAAAATTAGCAATGGATGCAAGCACTAGTGCAAAACACTAGTGTAACACTAGTGTAAAAGTCTGACGAGAGACAGAATATTCAGTCTCAAAATATCTACACACACAGACACACTTGATTAATTGAAAAGAATAACTTTACAGAGGAAAAATGAGTAGGGAAGTACCTTCCTTGAGTACCACTTGGTAGGATGCCATGAGAACACAGCATGATTGCTATGATACTCTGGCCCACAGTGCATAACCTGCATTTAATCCTGAGGAAGACTCAGCCAAACCCATCCAAGGAACATTACACAGAATAACTGGAAGGTCATCAAAATCAAGGAAAAACCAAGGAACTGTTCCAGATTAAAGGACAAACTAAAGAGACAGGACAACGAAACGCATTTGATACATTAGGTCATTTTGCTATGAAGGACATTATTGCAATAAATGAAGACATTGTTTCCTGATTTCGGTGGCTGTCCTGTAGTTCTGTGGGAGAGAGACCTTGTTTGTAGGATATACCTACTGAAATATTCCAGGGTAATGAGGCACCATGTGTATAACTTACTCTCAAATGGTTCAGAAAAAAAGCTAGCTAGATAGGAAATGTTAAAGAAAATATGGCAAAACATCAATAACAGGATTGGAGTGAAGAGTGTATGAGAGTTCTTTGAACTCTTCTTGTAACTTTTTATTAAGTTTGTTGGTGGTGGTGTAGGGTACTCACGCTCGTCAGAGAGAAACAAAGAGACAGAGATGGAGATAGAGGGAAAGTGAGAAATCATCCCTCAGGGAGGGTGGCAACACTTCAATCCCTTTTCCTCCATTCTCTTCTCAGGATTTTGGGCACACACACATCCAAGCCTGGTGTAATTTACAAGTCTGCTGGGTCTGCAACTTGAACTGTGCTGTTGGCCATGTGAGATCCAGCTGCCTTACCCGCCATGCTGCCTGCTGGCCCTGTAAGTCTGATTTTATTTAAGTAAAACATAAATGCTCTTAGAGTGAGAATTCACTTTGCTTACTATAACATTCTTTGAATTATGTTCTGTGTCTAACTGAAAGAGAAACAAAGAGCTAAACTAGTATGCGTGAGCTGCGGCGAGGAATGTTAGAGTGGGCAGAATGAGCTAGGGAGGTAAGGAGAGATGAGAAAAACACTGCAGTAACAGGGAGGCTGAGGCCTGGTAGAGGAGTAGAGCTTTCCAGGAAACAGAAAGGGTTGAGATTTTAAGATCATGGATGTCAGTTTTAACTTATCTAGAATACTGGAATGTGATGTGATCACGTGAAGGCTCCAGGCTGCAAAGTCAGCTACACATGTATGCATACATGCACACAGCACACGTGCACATGGGAGACGAAGGCACACATGCGCATGGGAGATAAAGGCACACATGCACGCATGTGCAGGGGAGATGAAAGCACACAAGCACACGTGCACATGGGAGATGAACGCACACATGCGCATGCGAGATGAAGGCACACATGCACACATGTGCATGGGAGATGAAGGTACACATGCACATCGGAGATGAAGGCATGCATGCACACATGCACATGGGAGATGAAGGTACACATGCATGCATGCACATGGGAGATGAAGCAGTGCAGAGGTCCCACAGGATGACACAGTGCAGAAAGAAAGGGCATTCATAAAAGATGAAGCACACAGAAGGAGGCAAGAATTCAGAGGAAACAGGAAGCTGGGGTCATAGGTAGGGAGAACCTAAAACCTTCAAGATTCCCATAAATACTGGAGAGAACACTGTGTTCCCTAGTATTTATGAGATGAAGTGAGAGTCAATTTTTAAAATCTTTTTTTTTTTGGAGAAGTTTTTGCTATAGAGCGCGTGCACTCGTCAGAAAGACAGAGAAACAGAGAGACAGAAAGTGAAAAATCACCCTCCAGGGGGGATGGCCACGCTGCAATCCCTTCTCCTCCATTCTCCTCTCGGGATCTTGCGCATGCACGCACACGTGCCTGGCGTGAGTTTAAGCCACTGGGTCCAGGACTCGAACCGCAGTCGACTACATGGGAATCCAACGACATAGCTATTACGCCAACTGCTGGTTCCATCAATTTTTAAAAATCTTATGTAAAATATGACCCCTCCTCACCAACAAGTTGGAAAATATACAGACACCGAAGAGGTGTATATAGGGGTAACCATGAACATTTACAAATTAGTATTAGAAAAAAACACCAAGACCCTGGCATTTGATAGAAAGTGGTTAAATATGGAGGATCTATTGCTGAGTGAAGCAAGCCAGGATATGATAGAAAGATATTGTATGTATCCACTTAATATATACTGACTATCTGCACTTTATTGGAGAGATTGAAATATTGGAGGGCATAAAAGCAGTGAAAATAGTTATGGATGCTGAAGACAATGTAGAAGGGGGTAGGGGGAGAAGGGAAGAGGACCGAGAAGGGCAGGAAGAGAACAGAACAAATAAAGAGGCATGACATTAGTGGGGCACAGAAATGGTTTATTACCCATTGATGATAACATGTATAATATTCTCAACTGGACTGGTCTGAGAAGTATTTCATGTTGGGTAAATTTTTTTTTTTTTTTAGAGAGAGAGGTTTTTGCTATAGGGTGCGTGCACTCACCAGAAAGAGACAGAGAGACAGAAAGCGAGAAATCACCCCCCAGGGAGGACGGCCATGACGCAATCCCTTCTCCCCCATTCTTCTCTCAGGATCTTGGGCACGCATGCACACACACCCGGCATGAGTTTAAGACACTTGCTCCGGGACTTGAACTGCGGTTGACTACATGGGAGTTCAGCAACATAGCCATTACGCCAGCTGCTGGTCCCATGCTGGGTAAATTCTTTATATAAGCCAAATGATATATAGTGATTAAATGTTTAAAAAATAATGAGAATAAATAATAATAACAACAATCTGAAAAAATGATGAAAAGGTATTTGATGATGATGTGTCTTGACTGAAATCCATAGTAATCGTGCTGGAGAAAAGAAATGTAATACACTGTAAAGCTATATGTGATTCAACGTACTATAACAAAGATTATGATAATAAAATTAAATAATAAAAAAGTTAAAAAATTAGTCTTAGAAATCTGAAAGGGGAATTAAAATGTTGATTAAAATAGTCAAGATTAGTATTTGTGTGGGTGTGCTGAGGAAACACATAACAATTTGCAAACACATCATGGGAGCATATGTTCAAATCTCTTCTTTTAGGATGTTACATACAAAGAAAGTAAAAATTACATATCAAAAACCAAAAATCCTAGACTTACCAACTGAACATCAGGATTGACTTGTTGCTGTATAGCTCTAAAAAATGCAGCTGGATTTTCTTGTACTTTTATGCTACATAAAAAGATTAATTTTGAAACCATATTAATTCCCTTTGTAGTAGCCCATAATCCTAAGGTGTTAGAAATAATACAGACAGATTTTCATAACAGACTAGTAATTTTAGGAAAAAAATTATTAGAGAAAAATGAGAATCTTTTGAGTCTAAAATTCTTTCTCTCACTGAAAGATATGCCTAAACCACTCATTAATCATTTTTATTAGCATAAAAATTAGTTCGATGGAAAATGAAATTTCCGCCATCAAACATAACTTTACAAGTAATAATTCTGTTATTCAAGATAGAGTCAAAGTGAACTTTTAAAATTACAAGTCTCACAATATCAAGTGTCTGAAAGAGGATTCAAGTGATCCCAGCATCAACATCTATCTAATAGAGAATCTCTATGGGAATTTTTAAATAGAAGTTTCAGGAATCATCAGGTGACTGAGACCAAGACACTTAGCTAATCTGCATTATTGGAAGAGATTTTATTCCTTCCAGCAGCTTATTTGGAGTCTGGGATATCTAGTCTTAACCCAATAAGCAGTCAGCCGGTATTTATCAGTGATGATTCTGTCTACATTGTTCGGGGTCAAAAACTACAGAAATAACTCCTAGACACAGGAATTTATAAATCTAGTTTCTTTATGTAGACTCAGCCTCTTTTATGTGTATATGGTTGGATTGCCTCAATGTCCAATAGCCTTTTAAAATGTGCCAGTAAAGGGCTGGCAGATGGCTTAGCAGTTAGATCGCTAGACTCCCACATGGCCAACCACAGTTCAAGTCCCTGGCCTGGTGGCTTGAAACTCTTACCGGGCATGAATGCGTGCTTGTCCCAGATCCCAGGAGAGAAGGGACTGTGGCATGGTCACCCCCCCGGGGATGATTTCTCACTTTCTCTCTCACTGTCTCTGTCTGTGTGTCTCTCTCTCTCTCCCTCCTTGGCAAGTGCATGCATCCTAAGGCAAAATCTCTATAAACAACAAAAAAATTTGCCCTAGCCCCTGGGCAGTGTAAGTAGCCAGCAGCACCTCCTAGACAACTGAATAGTCCTGACTTTTCCACCTCAAATTCAGTGCGCTCCAAATCAGTCCATTTCTTCTAAAATCACCAGGCAAATGTCTTCGATAAGAGAAGTTAGGCTTATCAATCGAACAGGTAAATGGATACTTCACAAGAAATAGAAAGGATAGAATAAAATAGAGGCTTTCAAATAAAACAGACCAAAGACAGATCACGGCAGGGGCTTGTTCACGGAATTCCTGTGAGAAAGCCTGAGATGCCAGCCTCGGGCTTGTGGACTGTGGCTTCTTTCATCATCATCTCCTGCTTTTTAAATGTATGGGTTAATAGAAAGTGGAGCAGGTGAAACTCAGACCGGGCGATTTGTTGACAGATTTGATAAAAGGAGAATTCTAAACTATGGTGTAAAATGAGACTTCGGGGAAAATGTATGGGTTTCAACACTGCTTGAGCTGCTGATATAATTAGTAACTGTGTTTAAAGAATAGCTTCCCATCCTGCCAACGAGGACATCTGCTCCTCCACTGTGACAAGGAAAAAGATGCATCAGTTGCTCTTTTTGGAGCATGCCAAGTTCAGTAAAGTGAGGTTTGGCTAACTTTACATTTTCTAAAATTCAGTTTTGACTGTGGTTGTATTATGTATGTATTTCTTACTCAATGGAAAGCAACTTAGCTATTTTTCGCCTCCCTACCTACTGGCACAGTAGCGAGTATATGGTGGCACTTAATAAATGTTCAAAGAATAAATGAATGACCTTGGTTTTTATCAGAAAACTATCTAAGTGCCTAATCTGATGCTCTGATAACAGATCCAGAAAAGATTATTTCAGATCTACCTTTACATTATAATGTAAAGCAGAAAATCTATCAAGTAAGCCAAGAAATGCAGCTTCTACTTTTCAATATCCTGTTTGCTGTTAAATGTTAAAAAATAACTGGCATGAAAGAAGTAAGGGGGAAAGCTGAGAAGGAATATATAAACTTATTAAGACTTTTTGTGTGTGTGTGTGTGGGGAGTGGTTTTGGCTATAGGGCACGTGCACTTGCCAGAAAGACAGAGAGAGACAGAGAGACAGAAAGCAAGAAATCACCCCCCCCCCGAGGGGGGATGGCCACACCTCAATCCCTTCTCCTTCATTCTCCTCTCGGGATCTCAGGCATGCATGTACACGAATCCAGCATTGGGTTTAAGCCACTGGGTCTGGGACTCGAACCACAGTCAACTACATGAGAATCCAGCAACTTAGCCATTATGCCAACTGCTGGTCCCTGAACTTATTAAGAATGTATACTACAACTAGTATGAAAGAGGTTTTGAGGTGTGAGGTTATCGCTTATGAAGTACTGTGAAAACAAAATCTTTTTTTTTTTTTTTTAGGTTTTTTTTTTTTTTTTTTTGTCTATGGGGTGTGTGCTCTTGCGAGAGAGAGAGAGAGAGAGAGAGAGAGGGAGAGAGAGAGAGACAGAAAGCGAGAAATTGCCCCCCGGGGGGATAGCCATGCCACAATCCCTTCTCCTCCATTCTCCTCTCGGGATCTTGGGCATGCACGCACATGCGCCCGGTGTGAGTTTTAAGCCACCAGGTCCAGGACGCTAACCGCGGTCTACTACATGGGAGTCCAGCAACATAGCCATTATGCTAACTGATGGTCCCGAAAACAAAATCTTACAAAGACTAATATAGAAATGTATTTCAACTCTGTAGAAATGTATTTCAACTCTATAAAAACGTAGTTTGAGGCCCAGCAGGTAGCATGGTGGCTGTGGCACTCAACTCCACAAGGCTGACTGCAGTTAGAGTTCTGGACCCGGCAGTTTGCTTTCTCACTTTCCCTCTCTCTCTCTCTCTGGTGAGTATACGTGTCCTATAGCAAATGAAAAAAATAATAAAAAATAAAATTTAATAAAGAATTCTTTAAAAAATGTAGTCACTTAAAAAATCTATCTACTTATGAGTATTCTCTTGGTACTTTGTATTAGGAAACTTTACTTGAGAGAAAGAAGCTTTCATATATACATCAGCTATTATTTCCTACTTTCTAATCAAACCACATTAATAATATGAAAAATAATTCAGTGTTTTCTCACATTTTGGGATAGCCCACATTAAATCCCATGGAACTTCCAACTCTTCTCAAGCAGTTCAGGAAGCTCTCGGTCACATCTTCAATTCTGTTACTACATAAAATCAGCCATTTACTCAAAGACTGTGCACTTAAAATCTTGCAAGTTCTCATATCCTTGGACCAATCAGCAGCAGACACAGGTTGACACTGAGAGAAATAATGATCATGAAAGGATTGAACACATTTATTCAGAGAGTAATTAAACATAGACACTGTGAAGGTGGCCTGAATTTCTTATGACAGAACCGTTGAATATAAGTTGTTGTTCAGTCTTAAGACAAAGAGGCAGGTGCTGGATGCAGAACCTTGGGTAAGTCCCTCTCTCTGCTTCACTGCTGTGTGCAGAGAATGGTGTCTGACTCCAAGATTTCTGAGGCTCCCATCCAGATCTCAGAACCTGTGATCTTAATTCTGAATGACTGCAGCAAGCATGCTATCCAGTTTTACCTCTTTACTTTAGCTATCTTGATATTTCAGATAAAAAATGATTATTGACACTCTGGGTTGTCATCTACAGCTGACCAGCCTACAGGGCAGCTAAGTTACACATCACCACGAGAAACTATGCCTAGATGCGAGCATGAGGCCAGAATGCAGGGTCCTTTCTTATTCTGGGAAGGTTTCCATGTGATCAGGGAAAACAATCTTCCTATATCGACTGGGAAGGTTTCCATGTGATCAGGGAAAACAGTCTTCCTACATTGCAGAGAAGGGAGATTGCTCATATCCATCAACTATAATCGAATGAAAATGTCTTTGGCATGGTGACCTGGGAAGATCCATTGTTAGAGCGCAAATGGACCATGCTGTAAACTAATCCCTCACTACTCAAAGCACTGTCTAGTGGAGCAGCAGCATGAGCTTCTCCTGGGACTTCGTTAGGTGCAGGGTCCTGGGCTGCACCTCAAACCTGCTCAATCAGAATCTGCACCTGATGGTCCTCAGGTGATTTGTATGCACATTCACATTCAGGAAGCACCCCAATCCCCTTGTTTGACAGACTCAGAGCTGTGGCTGAGAGACATTATGGAAATAACTGACTGCAGAGAAGGGGTTAGAATGCTGGACTCCAGACTTCACAGTCAGTCAGAGCACTTCCTACCGAGCGCTCTGGCTTCCAGCCTCCATCCACCTCATGATGCCTTACCTCAAGGGGGTTGGGCTGGAATCTGCTCCAGGAGTCGACCTTGGCCTGAGGACAAGGGAAAGGGCCAGCCCTCTGCAGATGGTGCTGTCCAGAGCCAAGGTCACTCCCGTCCTTCACAGCCAGTAATGGAGAAGCATAGCCTTCTCACCCTCAACACTGAAGGAGGATGGGAGGAGACCCAGGACAATATGTCCAGGTACCCCCTGGGGCTAGGAACCTTAGTTTGCTCAGTCTCTAGGCCCTAGCTTCAGAAAAGCAACGTTACACTAACATTGACCAAGAAGTCAATGACAGCCACCTATAGCCATCCACTGCCTCTAGGGGGCACTTTAGTCATCCCCAACCTCTCATTTTAACGCCGTTTCTCCTAGGGAGACCTAGTTCCAAGGCAAAAACAGAACGAAGCAAAAAACTAGAAACAAGGTAAGCTTGGTAAATATGATTTATTACTTAGAGAGATGGCAAGCTGGATCTGAAATAGTATTTTAAGTACTGTTTCACACATGGATTGGAAACTGAGCTTCTCTGCACTGGCCCTAAAACCTTAACAGGATGCCTGTAATTTAGTCCTTCACAAAGTTTTGTTTTGTTTTGAAAAAGTATTTTCTCTTTAGCTTCTCCAATAAGGCTTTTGATCATTTATATAACTTAAAAAGAAATGATGGAATAAAATCCCCATTCTGCCAACATGACACATGTTGTTCAATTATACCAGACATGGTGTTTTACTGTATCAAACAGATAAGAAAGTCTTTAAAAATGGAATGACCCCATAGTGGTTAAGGGAGTAGGATCCTACACGGCCAATGGTGTAGTTCAAATCCCAGTCCTGGCTTTAAAACCACACCAAGTATGTTTGCATGCCCCAAATCCCAACAGGATGGAGAAGGGATGTTGGCATGACCATGCCCATTGGGGAGTATTTTCTCCCTTTCTCTCTCTGTCTCTTTTGTCTCTCTCTAGCAAGCACATGTGCCCTCTGGCAAAATTTTAAAAAGTGGTGTGTTTAAAAAATAAGCAGAACAGGGGGAGAATAGGAAGATATTGCACAACTTTTGCATAAAACAGGTCCATTTCTTCAACTGAAGTCCACAAGTGGTAACGATTTGTCTCCTTAGACATAAAAATGCCACCCCCCCCCCCAAGAACTATGTCTGGCTATGGGTTCTATGAGAACGTGTTCATTTTTTATGCCAATTGAGCAGCATTTTATTTTGAAAGATTAAAAGATACAATTGACATGGAAACAAAAAAAAATTGCCTCTGAAATCAGAAAATAAAGTATATCAAGTGGTAACGATTTGTCTCCTTAGACATAGAAATGCCTCACCACCCCCCCCCCCAAGAACTATGTCTGGCTATGGGTTCTATGAGAACGTGTTCATTTTTTATGCCAATTGAGCAGCATTTTATTTTGAAAGATTAAAAGATACAATTGACATGGAAACAAAAAAAAATTGCCTCTGAAATCAGAAAATAAAGTATATTAGAATTAGCCTTCACAGTTAATAGAATCTTCTCAAGTTATTACAGTTTTCTAAAGGATTATTTACTTAATTTGATTTATTATTATCATTATTTTTTAACTTGCTCTCAGGCATATACATTCACCAGAGAGGAACAGACTGAAAGAGAGAGAAAGTGAGAAAGCAAGCCTCCAGGTCAGAGACTCGAACAGTGGTAGGCCACGTGGGAGTCTAGCGCCTTAACCACCATGCCACTTTCGGGCACCTCTGCTTTTATATTTTTTAACTCACAGAAGGACGGTACAACACCCAACAATCTGTAGGTATGTTTTAATTGCAATGATTTGATCTAAACTGTGTCCACTGAGTGCCGCTAAGTCTACCTAAATAAATTCAGAATCAAAAGAAAATCGGAGGGGACCTGAAGTCTTAGAACAAAGGGAGATCAGGGATGTGGCCTTGGAAAAATAACAAAGGAATATTTCAAGCCCACCAAGTCACTCTGACAAGTGATCAGACTTACGCGTATTTACGTACCTATATTAAGATGGAAATAAAATCACAGCACTTACTATGTGGTCTTGCATCATTATTTTTTCAGAAGGCACAACCCGGCCAGTCAGAGATATCTGGTTTCCAAAGTGCAGCCCCCAGGTCTCTAGCTCCAAACGAGCATCCTTGTTTCTGTTGAAGGAGTTGTTTCCAGTCATTCAAGTGCTTACTTTCTGAATCATTTTAATCACCAGAGTTAAAATGATAACTTCCTGAATTAGTCAAGGGCTGATTTCTGTGTCCTTAGGATTTCTGGCTTGTATTTCTACTCACCATTTTTACCCTGCTCAAAAGCATTAGGGGACAACTATACCCTTTTGGGACATGAAGGGAGGGGGAAAGACTTCTAGAAGGGGCGAGGTGGTTAGAAAAAAACCTGCTTTCAAGCCAAATAGAACTGAGTTTAACTTCTAGCTCTGACCTTTAATAAAATGAAAAAAAAAAAAAAAAAGGAAAGAAACAAAAACCTGAGCAAACTACTGAGTCTTTTAAAGCCTTGGGTTTTTTTCATTGGCAAAGTATGGGGATAATAAAATAGCTACTTCCTAGTGCTGGTGTAAAGAGTAAATACAATAACACATGGGCAGTGTTTACCACAGAGCCTGAAACAGCTCTATAAATGTGAGCTGTCATTCTGATAGCAAACTTGGTAATAAGGAGAATAGTAGGCTATTACCACCTAGGTTACTGGAGATATACTCTACGATGTTTGCACAATGATAAAGTCACCAAACAATGTATTTTTCAAAATGTGTCTCTGTTGTCAAATGACACATGACTGTATTTTCACCTCTCAAGGCTCCATCTTGTCTGGCCACATAGAATTTTCTAGTAGCTGTGGGTCCAGGTGGTGTGAAGGTTAAGGTGCGGGAGCCCACATGGCCGGCTGTGTGGTTCTAGTCCTAAACACAGTGGCTTGAAAATCACACCAGGCTCTTGTTCACACATGCCCCAAATCCCCAGAAGAGACTGGAGAAGTGACTGCGGTGTGGCCCGTCTCCCCTGCAGGGTGATTTCTCACTTTCCCTCTCTCTCTCTCTGTCTCTCTCTGGCACCCTTTGGTGAAAGAGAAAAGAAAACAAAAATTCTAGTAGCTGCAATTAAAAAAGTAAAAAGTAACAACTGAAATTATTTAAAAATATGTATTATTTATCCCAAATATTATAACCTCAAGAAGTAGCCACATTTCAGGTACCCCATAACCACATGGGGCTATCATACTGGACAGAGCAGTTACTGGAGGTCAGAAAACCAGGAAGCTTGATTTTGACATGGCAAGTTGCAATATTGCAAGATGTATTGCAACTTGCCAAGGCAAGTTGCAAAACGAGAGCAGGGACACAGTCTGGAAATTAGACGGACTGAACCAAGGGTTTTGTAAAGGCTTTCATTCTCATGTTTAAAGAATACACAGGGAGGCTGTCCTACAGTTCAGTGTGCTGAGACCACTACACTCAGATCTGAGCAATCCTGCCCCTGGATATTGGGGGCCTGAAATGTCTCTTGGTTATTTTGTTTGGGTTTTGGGTGTTTAAATGATAGCTCTTTGTTCACTCAGAATTTTGCCCAGACCGCAATGTATTGAACAGATGGAAGCCAGGCTGTCTAGCTGAAGCATGGTGTTACTCCTCTCAGCGTGGGCTCCCACCACTTCCCCTTCACCTGCCAGTCCCGAGACATCTCTGAAGAGCCTCTGGGCTCTGAGCAGCACAATTCAAAAGTGCCTTTTGTTTTGACTCGACAAGAAAAAGACATTTTTGACCAAGGAATGAAGCATTATGTAGACCATCTGTGCTACAAACCCAGCCCTGGGCAGAGACTCATGGTCTCAGCAAGAGGACCCAGTACCTCTGGATGTTGTCAGCAAGCCTGGCCAGGCGCTGCTGCCGGCCCAAAGGACTGAGCCGCGTTTCTTCAGCCACAGCCTTCATCAGATGGAAATTCGAGGTTGCCTGGTCAGTCAGCCCTATTAAATGCAAACGAAAACTAAGTGAATACATGAACAGTTGCAATGCAATCCCTGCCCACCTCAGGCAGTTTAAACCTCAGCTGAATCAGATTCACATCTGGACAGCACTGCCCAATAGAAATAAAAACCACATGTGCCATTTAAAATTTTAGCCATGTTAAAAAAAAAAAAAAAAAAAAAACAAGAGGCCAGGAAGAAACAGATGAAATTATTATTATTATTATTATTATTATTGTTTCACTGTCCACAGTTTTTATTTATCAAGAGAAACTACTCGTTAGCCCATGTATCGATGTTTCATAGTTCGGAAACATGGCACCAATTCAATGACATTCTTTACATTCCAAAATCACTTTGTACTCTGAAAGATACCAGCCTTCCTCATCTCTTCAAAATCTTTCATGGGGGACCAGCAGTTAGCGTAATGGCTATGTCGCTGGACTCCCATGTAGTCGACTGCGGTTCACGTCCCAGACCCAGTGGCTTAAAACTCACGCCGGGCATGTGTGTGTGTGTGCCCAAGATACCAAGAGGAGAACTAGAGGAGAAGGGATT